GTTACAGCTGAAATACCCGTTAACTCTGACGGGGGAATGTTTAAACTTAATTAAAGCAATCTAAGTTTAACAGCAATCATATATTTCAAAGTAATAAGTTGAACATAAACTTTGTCTCAAAATTCAAAAATTATAACAAAGCTTCTTCATAAACAACATTTGCATTTTGCTTTCCATCTACCAACAAATGAAGATTTTAAGATGATCCCATCCTTGAACACCCTACATCTCACTGACCATCAGAAAACCATGACTGTTTAAAAAACCAGCAACTTTCATACTTTGATCTTGAATCCCCTTAGAATATTCAACATTGTCTAAAGCGTCAACCTGCCAAGATTATTTGAGATTGACTCAATAGACTAGGAGTACTTAACCAACAGGCTTTACAAAATTGGAATAGGATTAAGTTCAATTTTGAATCCCTTAGAGCATTCCCCATAGTTCACAATGTTTACATACAAATGTTCGTTGAAATTGGCCCAATAGGCTTGGAGGAATTAGGGTGCAAACAAACACACACATTTCATCTTTATATATATATTTTGTTTCCAATGGACCCTTGTCACATTTTCCGCGTTGAGTTCTTTGTAAATACAAAGTACAAAGAATTGAATGACTTACAAAAACAACAACAAAATAGAATCCAGGCCATAAGCTAGCCTGCTGCATTAAAACAGAAGTGTGTGGACTCGTACAACGTAACATCAACGAAATCAACAACAAAGAAGCGTTACGACAGCGTAAGTCGCGTGACGCTGGAGTTTCTCGAAGGATCATGAATTATCGGAAAGGTCCGAGTTTGTTCGAGGTGCCCTCTTTTTTAGTATATAAGCCAGGCGAGAAAAAGAGGCAGATAGATTGGAGATATAGATAACTGAGTCAAGCGAACAGTAGGCACTGTAAGTAAAGTGTGTGAATCACTGTGATTTATAGAGTGTATTATAAAAGTAGTTAAGTTTAACATAATGATTGGAAATTCTGTGTATTACAAAGTTGTATCAAGGAAAAAAATAAACTGGTTTAATTAAGAAAGGATTTGTATCACTGAAGTTCCTCAGAAAGAATTTATATCGGAAATTAACAAACAAGCAGATACCTAACAGAAGACAAAGGAAAAAAAAAAGACCCGCCCTAAACAAAAAATTGACCAACTAAAATGATAACATCAGAAGAGGTGTCTGAATCGCCAACCTTATAGTCAACAGATCCAACACTGAAGAAACACATCTTCTGATTAAAGGACTCTCCTCATTGGTTTTTGCTGACACTCAAATGGCTTGATGGTTTGAGAGCGTGACTCACAATCTTTGGGTCGTGGGTTCAAATCCCTGTCACCGAAAGTGCTCGCCCTTTCAGCTGTGGGGTGTTATAATCTGACAGACAATCCCACTATTCGTAGGTAAAAAGAGTAGCTCAGAAATTGGCAGTGGGTGGTGTTTACTGGCTGCCTTTCCTCTAGTTTTTAACTACTAAATTTGGGATTGCTAAATGGAGAAGAGAAGGGCGCCACTAGGTAAAAGTTAGCCCAAGAATCACCAGTGATGCATAAGCATCACCCTACCAGTGGAGTGATACGTCTGGGGACTTATACGGCTAGAAACCAGGTTTCGATACCCGTGGTGGACAGAGCACAAATAACCCATTGTACGGCTTTGTGCTTAACTACAAACAAACAAAGCATCAGCATCAGTAGTGGTATGCAGCCTGGGGACCAAAATAAAAATAAAATAAAAACTCGGAGATCTTCCAGGAGTTAAGAAAATAAGTGATGATTACGTTCGTGTGCAGGTCAAGATGTTACAATTCATGCAAGTAGTTGTTGTTGTTTAGCTATTAATTTTAATGCAAATGTTTACAAATTCTGTGTGCTACACCTAAGGCTAAGCAGAGTGCTAGTTATAATTTTATTTACAACTTTCAGTTAAAGCAATTTAAGACGTGCACATTTATGGTTGAACATGTATTGTATATTTTGTTGTATTTGTAATGAAAAAGCAAACATATAAATATTATGTTAATTTCAAGCAGCTAAAGTCCCATTCTAACAAGCACTGTGATAACTGTGGCTTGTGCACTGTTTCATGTGTTAAAAATACTGTTAGAAAGTTAAGTCAACCTGAACAATTCTCAGTGCAATGTACCACCATGTTTTTCTTGACCATCGTCCTTAAAGTTTTGAAGGTTTTTTGTTTCCCATGTTTAATGATTGTTTATAAAAAAATACAAACATTGAAACAACTGAATTACATTTCTATTAAGATAGTGTTTTTTTTTTAAAGTAATATTTGATGAAGTATGTGGTTGATAAAAGAGAAAGAAAAAAGCTGAAGAATTTAACTGATAAAAAATTTGCTGACATTTCCAAGATTGACAGTAAAATTGCCAATACATGTTGACTTGTGTGCATAATAATGAACATTAACAGGGGTTTAGATCTCGTTGCTAAATGTGGGGGTTCAAACTTCTAGCAAAAAACAACTATCCAGTTGACTCCTCCAAGAACCAACACAACAGAACAAAGCACCATGTCTATTCCAATAAATACCAACAGATCAGAACAAGTATACCATGTGGGTTCCAATAAAAGCCAGTACAGCACTGGGTTTCAATAAGAACTAGTATAACAGTGGGTTCTATTGATTAAGTATAAGTCCATCAAGAATTCTGCAGTAAGACCAATATACAAATGAAAATTAACCATCAAAAAAATAATTGAAATCAGCAATAAATCGTACCAGTCTTTTGTGGTCAGTAGATATATAAATCACCATGTTTTAAATTTAAGAATGACCAAAATGACAAAATAAAGTCCATTTCTCTATAAATAGAATTTTAGTTATTGATGTAATGAAAAAATTCCGAATTTAAAGTAATCAGAAATATTCTTTTTTCTTCTTGTTTGATTTATTATTTAGTTACAGAATTTTCAGCCATGATCTTTAGATACACATGTTTAACTATTGACATGACTTTCTCTACATTACAGGTCTAAATACATTTTATCAGCTTTCCAAAAAAAAAAAAAAAATGGAAAAAACAACAAGCACTCATTATTTACAGATCTGTGAATCAATTGTATGTTTCAAAGTAATTTTCTGATAAAAATCTATTGTAAATCAGTTATCATTTAATCTCTAGGTTGAACTAATGTAATTTACATTTTTACAGTAGAAGAAACAGAAACCTTGGAAATTTAATAATTTTGTCGATATATAAAAATCCATAAGACTAAAAAACAAAGCAAAATGTGCATGAGTTTTAGAAAATCTCATAGGACTATCATAGCATTGCATATTCAAAGAACTTTCCATATATTGTACATAAAACTATGAAACTAGGAATGTCTGTTCATTTCACTTCCCATCGTATATTAAATTAGTAATATTATAGCCATATTAGAGAGGCTGGATTTGTTAGCTGAAAACAAGTCTTGCTTGTAAGTACCATTAATAGACTTATCACTCAGAGTAAGAATCCACATATAGTCATTGTCCACAACTAATGTTCATGTATCTCCTTCATTGCATGAAAACTCATTAAAGTATAGATATATTACTGGATATGCATTTTCACATTTCAATTTGATAAGAAATATAAAAATTGACATGATTTGAGTTTTGAATTTTGAATGTATGTTGAGATATCAAAGTTGTGTTAACCCTTGTTCACTGGAAGATGACAGTTTTTAATTTTCTGTATTCAACAAGAGAAAAAAAGCATAACTCATTAAAATAAAAGTTATAATATTTTGGATTAAAACAATATGACTTGTGTTATACATAAACAGTTATATATACTTATTTTTTTCTAATGAGTAAATACAGAATGAGACATCTAATTTAGCAACATATGTTTTCATTATATTTTCTAAGTAATTAAAGTAATAAATCGGTGAAGACTCAAGTATTTTGAATAATGTCTTTCTTTATTCCAGGGCTTGTTTAACCAAGAAGAGCATATTTGTGCAGAAATGGTAGATTCATCACCTCAGGCCAAAGTACAAGAATTGAAAGCATTGTTCTCCAGGACGAACAGTCCTGTGATGGGGCTTTTGTCAGCTCAGAAATCTGTTCAGAATTTAGAGAGCAAAGCCAGTTCTGACACGAAAAAATTTAGTCCATCAAATTACGTATATACGTCAAGTCAACCACAAAAATTAATAGAAAACGCAGTTTCAACTGGTCCCATAAATTCTGAAAACTCGTTTCTGAGTACGAAGACATACGTAACAACAACCCCAAATGGTTCAACCTCATCAATGTCTAGTGACTCAGGTTTGGAACTTAGTCCAGGAGCTTCAAACAAGCAAAAGATGTGTGCAGGGACTAAAGCTTCACGTTTTGTTAAGCATGTAAAGTCATTGTCATCTTCATCAGTTGGAACCAGAGATAATAAGATTGCTAACACCACTTGTACAGTTAAAAGTACTGATTCAGTAACCACACAGTCAACAGAGAGTATTACTTTGGAACTCACTGAAGAAATGGATAAACAAAAAAAAGCAAATGATTTTGCTAAAGTTGTTAATCAAGAACTTGATCTCAAATTTCAAGTTAACCCTACATTACCCCTCGTCTCTTTTACAGTGAAACCATTTAAAAAACAGAATGGAAGTACTATGGAAAAGAATAAAACAAGCAATGTTTACGATATACATTGTGATCCATGTACTTTAACTAATTCAGAAAAATATGTATGCAAATCACATTTCCATTACCAAAAAAAGGAACTTCCTTCTTTAGAAAAACTTGGCAATCCACCATTGAAATTACCGAAACCTCCCAATGTTCAACTTCCTGTAATGTATAGACAGACAATCAAAAACAGAGAAAGTCCACCCCCTCTTCCATCAAGGTCTCTTCCGTTACCAGCTCAAAAGTCTGTACAAGGTTAGTGAGTGATTATTTATTGGAGAAAAATCTTTAGATGTTAGGGAATTTGTTTTAGAAAAATAAGAAAATTTATGTGATGCATTGCATTTTTTTAAATAAAAACTTAATAAGAAGTTTTGCAGTTTTTAATTATTATATAGATTCTAAAGATGTAACATAAACTGTTAAATTTAGTTAATGAAAGTACTACTTCAGGTTTGATTACCAAAGTTTATTTTATTTTTTCTTATATACTCTGAATATTTCAGGGATTTTCCTAGTGTGCAGTATATCACAAATTGTGCACCTGTAAAAATATTTGTGCAGTTGAAAATTCACTTATATAGTAAGTTCAAGTGGATAAATATTAATAGAAAAACATTTAAGATTATAAAATTCTATTCCAGAGTTGATAAATAAATGTATTTACTAGAATATTCTTCATTTTTGGATCATTTGTTACTAGGCCTGTATATATATATGAGGTGCAATAAACCATCATGTATTAAAAAATGAAGAAGTTAAAATATAATTGTGCAGTTGAAAAAAATCCTCTGGAATATTTTAAAGTTTTGTAGATGTGTAAAAGTGTAGTCTTGCTTCTGCAAAGATATATTATTATTCACAAACGTCTTTTGTTTTGCAGAAGTTCTTCAGAAACGCAAAAGACTTCCACCTTGCATTCCAACATTAGAATTATCACATTCTTCTAGTTCACATCCAGAACCAGTTCCTGCAGTCACAAGGAAAAAGCTGCCATCCTTACCTGACAATGAAACTGACATAGAAGAACTGTATGATGATACTACTGTCAATGACAGAAAGTCAGAATTGACTATGTAAGAATAAGAGTTCAAATGATTGATTAAGTTATTTAGTTTTAATTGTAAATTGTTAAGATTATTTGAATCTTTGAACATATATTGTTTTTTGTTTTTCACAAAGTCCTCTCGTCTTTTCACATTTCATTAAGTTTTTGGATGATTTTATTCTTCTGTTAAAAGAAAAACATTGTTTTCTATGTAGTCCATAATGGAAAGATTTTTGTATTACTATGCACTTCTTTGGGAGATATTGTTTTTAATCACATACAACATTACTTGTGGGATACATTTGATAAGGAAGTATCATTCAGAGTCCAAATTTAAACAAAACTAAAGATCAGTTGTACATCCAGGTCAAGTCCAAATCTAAACAAGACTATATATAGACCAATTGCACATCCAGATCAAACTAAGCCTTGTGAAAAACTATTTGTAATGAGAGTCAAAGTAAATTTATGTTCAATATTAAAATATAATTACAAAAAACTATAGCAAAACAAGTTAATATTGTTTAATATTAGGAGAGTTTTATTTTCTTATTTCTAATTAACCACTGATTGCTGCATCTACTAAATAAATTTGCTTACTGCTAACCAATTTCATGTCCAGAGAATTCTTGGTAGTGATATTAATATATGCAGAAGTCTGATATAAAAAATGTCAAATTTTTAAAAATTATTTCTTACAGTTATGAATGTTATTAGTGAAGTGTGTGTTTAGAACTAATCTAAACCTCCTAAGATCTGATGCTCAAGAGATATTATTGGGAATATTGCCAAAAATGTTAACATCAAGAGTATCAACTGGTGATCAAGTGCATTGAAATCATTATAGGCTTTTTTATTTTCATACTTAATCATCTGTTTGTTGTTTATTTTAAAAGACTAACTTCACGGATTTTTAAGTTACTTTTTAGTTTTGATCTGTATAGTATTAGTTTTCTTACTTTTCATCAGAGTTAATAATAATCATTTGTATGTAAAACCCTTTAAGTTAAAATAACAATTCAATATTGCCTTTGGCATCAGCATAGTGTTTCCAGGATTCTATCTATGTTTAAGAACAAATGCAAAACCAAATAAAGAAAGTAATTAAATCCTAGCATAGTCATAGAAAAGATAAAATGATACTCTTCTTGTGTAAAGTCAATATCAAAAAGAAATGAAATAAATATATCCAAACAAAATTTCACACTTAATTTTTAATTTTTGGACACCAGTGGATGCTCTTCTTTATTGAACAGATAATCGCTTTAAAAAACAGTAAAACCTTAATACTTGGGATGGGTTTCATTGGGTTTTTTTACTGTGGTTTACCAAACTTTTTATTTTATTCTACATGTTTTGTACACTGTCTAATCACATGTGAAGTGGAAAAAGGGTAATTCAAAGTTATGTTAAAAAACTGTTACATTAATATTCAAATTAATTATTAAATGATCAAATCCTCATTTTGCCAGGATGTTTAGAGTATAATATTATGTTGATATAATTTTAATAGTGTAATTTAGAAAACAAGAGCCAAAAAGTATATTTTGGTTCAACATTTTTATTCGATAGTCCAGAATATACAGAAGAACAGGAATCTAATGATACTGACATGCATCCCCCACCAATTCCCAGCCAACCACCCCCTGCTAGGCCAAGATATGCACCTCTGCCTCCTGTTCCAAGTGATACTGGTTTTAAAAAGATTCCTTCATTAAGTAAGAAACACACCTATAGAAAATTGTTACATACAGATTATAATATTCAGTTGTAGTTTATATGTTTTAGCAGAGTAGGTAGTCCTAGTATTAATGTTTAATGATCTACATCTGTCTGGAACTTTGTGATATGGATAATGTGCTGAGGCATTCACCACATGATTCCATGCAGACAAAGTCCATGAAAGATTCAGTGTTAATTATAGTACAATTTAATGTTATAAACCTGGAAAAATATTTAATAGCAGAATATTTTTTTAAATAATAAGGTGCTACAATGTAACAATAGTTAGTAGTTAATATATATTTTGTAATCTAGTCAACATAAAAAAATTGTTAAAAGTATCAAAAACAGTATTTTAATTTGTTTCTGTAAGTAATGAAATACATCAAAGGAGGGTTATACTCAAAAATGTGAAAGACTTTCATAAAAGGTGAGCCACATGATGCAATATGCAAAGTCATATAAATCAAATTAATCTCCTTAATTCATCTATAAAAAATTAATAGGTCAGAGGGGAGAAGAAAATGTTTGAAAAAAACCTTATTTATTTCTTAAGGAGAAATCTGTCAGGACAAGAACTGTGTTAAGGATAGAGTTCAGGACAGGAACTGTGTTAAGACATAAGTAGAATGTCAGTCTGTTGCTTTATAATATATGAGTGTGAACAAGGATTTGAAGAAGTACAGAAACATTATAACTACAAGATCATTGAGATAGAAAATAACTTCTGTGACAGAGTAAAACATTTGGAAAATGAATTGATTATTGTAAAGATCTAACCAGCAACACCTCTTTCTGCATCTGCCTAGGAATTCCAAACTAAAACACCCTTTACCATAAATATGGAGTATGAGAAACCATTTGTTTTACACTTACCACTGCTGCTATATCATCTGCAGGACTTTCTTCAACTACCCTAGTACTAAATAATGTTCCAGAACTTAGCTGGCTAAGCCAATAATATTGCCCATTCAAGAAACCAATGGGCTATGATGCGAAGGTACCATGGAAGATAAATCAGTGTGAGTTTCAAATACTTTCTAGAATAAACAGGTGTAGTAGTGAACAATAAGTTATTCACATTTCTGCCCCTTTTAAAAGAACTAGCTTTATCAACCTTAAGTAACTTTCCATCTGAGAGTCATAACAACTATCAAACTATTCTTTAATAGATAGTGTAGGCAAAGTATTCATATTGATTTGATATGAGATTGGCAGTAACTGCCTAATAGAGAAACACTTTTACAAATACACTGGTGAGTATACCATCTACTTATGAAGCTTAAATATAGTGGACAATATTTTGAAAGTCTTCCACTTTTTGTCTTGATGCTAGTTTGTCTTTCTTCTATCTGTGTAATGAATATGAGTAATACTGAAACATAATCTTCCCCTGATGATAGTCTAGAAGAACAAGAAAAATTAGTTACACAGAATGGAGGAAATAAACCACAAGAAAAGAGGTGTTTCAAATGTAGCTTGAAAGAACATACCAAAATATTCTGTAGATTAAAGCTTATATGGAATGAAAACTCCTTCCAGTGGATCTCAAAAAAAGGAACTGTTATAACTGTTGGAAATGTGGACATTAAATCTAAGACTGTAAGGAATCAACTAACCAAAGAGACAATACTCTGAGGATGTGTCCTTCCACCATATAAAAACAACAACAAATAGTTAACTAGACATAAGAAAGAATAACAACAGGTATTAGCTGGCTTTATGGAGCAAAGCTCAGATGAGAATTTTGCACTTGCCACAAAAGAGGTAAGAAGTTCATTATAATTGACATTAAGGAAGAGAGTGTATATTGGGAATTGACTTTATGTGGAGATATGGATGGGAGGTTAGGCTAGCTTCAAATAGCATCACAGTTGATGACCAGAGGATTCTTGTACTGAACCTGGCAGTTACTACACCAAAAGTTGAAATACCAGTAACAACAGGGAGGATAGTCATTGTACCACCAAGGAGTGAAATATTAATACCAGGAGTTATTAGGAATAAATCTACATCTAGTCACACTTTACCTGGGAAAGACTTAGATAATCTTGTGATAAAATGAAAAATCACTATATTATTTATACTGATAAGAATGGATTTCATCAAGATATATTGTATGGCTGAACAATTCTCATCACAAGAAAGGATGAATTCCAAAATTAAGTAGGTGTTGAGAAGGACCATATATTTTACTGAAATCAATTAATGATGTAGCTTATAGAATCCAGGAGGACAGCCAGTTCAAGTCAAAGGTCATGCACTGTGATAATATTTGGAAGTATATCAGTGAGTGAACGGCCAACTGAGTATCCAGACAAGAAGTCCATGGTTCTTGTTGAGACTACTTTCAGAGGATCTTGAAGAATGGAACTGCTATAAGATTCACTTGACCACCTTTGTAGGGAGGCAAGTACTCAAGATTAGGTTCTCAAGTTTGGGTACTAGAAGTATACAATGAACTCAGCTACTGAGGCACAGGGCCTGAGGTGGTTGCCTCAGAGGCCTCACCCTAAGGACAGCCCTGCTAGAGAGACAGGACAGTAAGTGAGGCTATACCATTTGTCTACCATAACCCTCTGAAAAGAAATCCACCAAACAGACTTGATAAATAGATAGTTTAGTGTACTGCTTTACATATGTATCAGGATTATTCAAGGGACTTCACAATCCAGGAGGGGGGTCAGTATTGTAAGCTATATTTTCATTTAGAATTTGTTTGCTTGAGGGCACATGATGCAACATCTAGAAATTTAGTTAACATTATGATCTAAAAATTCCTAATAGTATGTAGAAATAAGAGTATGGGACATATACAAGAATCAGTGAAACAATGAATTTATAAGAAGTGAATGAATAATCAGTGATTAAGTTAATTTAGTGTCAGTTTGAGATTGAGGTTAGTGAAACTATGATTGATATTCTGTGTGTGTAATTAAGATTTTTTTATTTTTTTTAGTTAGGCATATGTTAGTTTTTGGAAGTTCTGTTAAATGTTATTTGAAGTTAGGTGTATAACTAAACTTGGTCTGTAACAAATTTCATTCAGTTAATGAAGAAATATGTTAATTCATTATTATAACATTGTTTTTGCCAAGTTATTTAAAAGAACCCACAAAATATAGCTTCACCTCTTTCATAAGTTAGTTGTGTTTGGGTTAAGCTTAAGAATTTCAGTCAGTTGAAAAATTTAATTTTATTTGTACCACTTATGTATTAGATTAGGGAGAATTCAGTTTCGTTTTAAATTCTAAGCCAGTATTGATTGTAAATTTATATTTGTAAATTTGTTTATTTTTATAAACTCTGATGTTTAAACAAATTTTAGTGTCATTCTGCTTCATTTGCCAACATGATATTTTATATCCCACACAGAGGAACTTTACAAGGATTCACTAGAAGTAAGTACTGTTATTTTTCACTTTTTGTGTGATACTGGTTACTTTTCGTTTTATTAAGGAAATAGCCTATTGTTTTTTCTCTTGTGAAATTAATTCTTGTTACACATTTTTACATTGTTATATATTTCAACTTTTTTGCACCTGTCATAGTAATATGATTGTGATAAGGCAAACGTACAAAACAAATTACTTAATCACAGCTAACACTATATACTATAGCTACATCTTAATTAAACTTTTACTGCCTCATGACAAGTTATGCTTTTTTAAAAAGAAGTATTATTAAGTAAGTGATAACTAATCTCAGCACTACATAATTAGTTGGAAGAAACAAGTTTTTCTATAGCAGTGAAGTACAGAAACTTGTGTAAAGTTTCATGTAAAGAAATTTATTTTTACAGAAATTGAAAGGTGAGAAATTTTCAATCTTCAAAAGCTAGATTTTTATTCTAATAAAAATAATTAATGTTAATATACTGGAGAAAATCTATTTGTTTAACTTCATTTTGATAGCAGCCTGATGAAGATGTATATGAAGAAATGCCAGTTTACACACTAATAAAGTAAGTTTAAACAAAGATTTGTTTACTAGTAATTCAGTTTAATTTATTTAGTTTAACACTTTCTTTTTGTGTTATTACTAAGTTATTTTTATCTGAAATTTTGTGTACCAGTTTAGGAGTTGTTTATATAACAAGGTGTTTAATCCAACAGCAGTGTTTGGATAAAGTAACACTACTATGACTTTTTTATAATTCTTTTTTATATTTTTTCCAACATGTCTAGAATGATACATCTTATCTTAATTTCAAATTGTTTTATATTGTGTTGCTCAGTGAGGAATGGAATGGACCTATATATGGCAATCGAAGAGAAGAGATGAAATATAAGAGAGAAGAGGATAAGCAAAGGAAAAGGGATCAGAAAAAGAAAGAAAAGGAAGATCGAGAATTGGAGAAACTCAGAAAGAAATTTTCTGTAATGTTTCATTTTTATTTATATACAGTATTTAGAATTGAAAGTAATTTCCTGACTTGATTTGGAGAAGTAATGATGCAAGACATGCACCTGCATGAAAATCACTTAAAGATTCATTACTTAATTTATTAGTTTAAAAATGTAAAAATTTTATGAATTGGAAATCAATATTTGTTAGTTAAAATATGAAGGATTGATTAATCACACTTTATATGAATGACTTATAGTCTAATGCAGTGAAATGTTGGTGAATTTTCAAGCTGTGATACCATAGCTGACATGTTCATCCCCTGTATACTTTGTTTACAATGGACCATTTGATACATAAAGTAGTGCAATGTGACTATGAAAAGACTTATAGCTTCAGTACTATATTGTTACATCTCTGTATGTTTGTTTGTTGATTTTTCTGCAATACAACTTCTTTCTTAAATAAAACTTGTTTATTCTTCCTCAATACAACTTTGCAATACACTTAATTTTCACAGTTACACACACTATAGTTCACAACAATTCACTCACTTTCTACCGTGCTTGACTCAATTGTCCGTCTCTATCTCCGCCTGTCAGCAACTATCGTTCCGATCTCTGTATCTGCTATCCTTGGTTCCCACCGACTGTAACTCCTGTCCTTGGTTCCCCACTCTTTCCCCTTCTCTGTTTGTCTCTCTCTGTCTAGCGCACTTATATACGATAATACCGCCTCTTCTAGAATTTTCTAGGCTCTCAACACTTGCTACCAGCATCACTTGACTTCCGCTGTCGTAACACACTAGCGTTTATCGCAAATCTTCTAGAATACTAGTCACGTGACCCCCCGCTGTCGTAAAAATATGTTAAAGTTCTATCCAAGGAAGGATACTGGAACAGTGATTTTTCTTAAATAATGATGAGCCAAAGATGCAACATTTTGAAGACAGGATCCTTCACTGTTCTTCATGAAAACATAAAAACTTAAACAGGACAACATTTATGACATTACTGAGTTCAGAAACACCTTAAGCTTCATCCATAAGTTTGTGGTAATTCAAAGATAAACCTCCACACAACCACCTGGTCTCCAGAAAAACGAGATGTTTATGGATCTAATATGTGAAAAGAGAGGTCTAGTGATTTAATTGAAGGTGAAATAAGAGACAAGACACAGAGTTGAAGCTCAAAACAAGAAAATGAGACATTATTTTTGTTAAGTAAAATAGAAGAATTACTGGTCATAGAGGTGGAAAGGACTATTCCATTTTAATAGATTTAATTGAAAGTAAAGTAAACTACATAAAATGAGCAGAAATGATGGATAAAAAAAGATTAACTTATGGATCAAATTTCATCAGCAAGTCTTTGATTCCTCAAAAAAGGCAAACGGATCTCTTCAAAGATCAGGACCATTCTCTTGAAAAATGCTAAAACTGCTTTCACAATGCACATTTTCTCTGTATGGTAGGCTAAATAGAAAATTGGCACCTTCTCTGCTCTACTAGGCAGTTGCATGGCATGAAAGTTTTACGAAGCAGAAGTCACGTGACACTGGTAACACGTTATGAGTTCTAGAAAGATCGGGGAACATCATGAATAATCCAGTATTTGCTTGGCCCCTCTATTCTTTTATATAAGTGCGCCAGACAATGATTTGATGAATAATTGCAGATTGAAGAGATAAAGACAGACATTTGAGTCAAGCGCAGTAGTGAAGTGCGTGAATCGTTTGTTGTGAATTATAGCGTGACTTTAAGTTAATGTGACTGTGGAAATTAAATATATTGCAAAGTTGAATTGAGAAATAATACACTAGTTTTATTTAAGAAAGGACTTGTATCACTGAAGTTTCTCGGAAAGAATTTCTACGAAAAACTAACAAACGAACACAGACGTAACAAATTGGTGTCAGAAGTGGGATTGAAAAAAAAGAAAAAGAATATGGAAACGAGAAGTGGTAAATCAAACTACAGCTTAGCAGATTTGATGGCAGCAGTACAAGAACAGCAAAAGAAACAAGAATAGAGATTACAGCAGTAGCAAGAAAACCTGCAGCAATGGCAGCTCGAACAGCAAAATAAACAAAAGAGATTACAGTAGTTATTGGAGGAAAAAGAAAAGAAACAAGAAGAGAGACTACAGCAGTGGTTGGAGGAGAAAGAAAATAAACAAGAAGAGAAATTACAGCAGTTGTTGGAGGAAAAAGAAAAGAAACAAGAAGTACGTGAAAAGAAACAAGAAGAGAGATTATAGCAGTGGCAACTGGAACAAGAAAGGAAACAGGAAGAAAGTCTCCAACAGTTGCAGGAAAGTCAACAACGGTGGCAAGAAGTACAAATGGAAAACATTAGCAAATTTCAAAGTGAATTAAATACATTAAAGGATGAATTATTGTATTTTACACAAGGAGGACACTGTTATGCCTATGTGTTCGTTTGTTAATTTCCTGGTATAAATTCTTCCCAAGGAACTTCAGAGATACAAGTCCTTTCTTAAATAAAACTAGTTTATTCTTTCTCAATTCAACTTTGCAATACACTTAATTTCCACAGTCATTTAAACACACACTATAATTCACAATGATTCACGCACTTACTTACTGTCACTACCGTGCTTGACTCAATTGTCTGTCTTTATCTCTGCCTGTCTGCAATTCAATTCCGATTAATTTGTCTCACATTATTCGGCACACTTATATACAGGAAGAGAGGGCGCCTAGCACATACTGGATTATTCATGATGTTCCCCGATCCTTCTAGAATATCATGACGTGTTAGCAGAGTCACGTGACTACCGCTGTCGTAACACTGCCACTTCCTTAGTATTGTTTGTCCCGAACAATAGCCACTTACATTAAACCAATAAACAATTAACAATAACTTAATTAAATGTACAGAATTTACAAACACAAAATCAAAATTCAACAAATTCTCTTAATTTTACGGGGCGTATCTTGTTTCGAACTGGTCTCCATCTCTTTGGCTTCTGCTTCATGTGGGGTTCATCTGCTTCATCAGGAAATGTCCTATCATCGGTAACAGTCACATCAGTGGTAGTAACTTCATCAAGGGCTTCACTGTTTCTCTTCTCAAAACCGAGTAGAGTTTATTCTTCGACAGTGGCTTTTTCATGTGACACGTCTTCAGCAGTGTCATTTGTTCCATTGTTCATTCTGTTCCAACTGAAATGTCCTGGACCGTGATAATGCCAAAGCCTGTTGGCATGCACTACTTTTGGCTTACCTCACAGACCACATTTTATTCGGAAAGTCACGTCTGAGAGACGATCCACTATATCATATGGGCCTTCTCATGGAGAAGACAACTTAGGAGACTTCCCTTTGGTCTTCCTGGGATTATACAACCACACCTTGTCTCCTGGTACAAAGCTGACTTCAGTAGATCTCTTATCATAACATAGCTTCATCGAATCAGCAGACGTTTTCAAGGTTGAACGCACTTGATGGTGAATATTATCCATCCTTTTAGATAACACTTTCACGAACTCTGACACATTTTCAGGCAACTCTTCGTAAGGTGGGTGCCTGCTATCAGATCCACCGGCAACCGAAGTTCCC